AACTTCAAACCCCAAAACCCCAAAACCCCAAAACCCCTGAGACTATTACATATGATGAAAACTTAAATGTATAAATTTGGTAATTTAACGATTAAATTGAGTTGTTACATAAAATAATGAATTCGATTTATACAAGCTATATAATGTGTCGAAAAGAAAGATGCCAATGGAATAATAAGAAATACTCAGAACAAATCCTCTTCATCAACTGTTTCGATGGTCTTATCAGATTGTTTTATCTCATCCCTCCTAGGTTGCTATAAATTAGTATTAGGTTTGATGTTGACAGCAGTGCTACTATTAGATTTTTTGTGTTTTTAATGCTTATCATTTTAGACTTTGATTGCTCCAACTTCGTGTTATTTGAGAATGCCTTGTTTATGATGATTGAAGCTCACAAAATAAAAATGTAAGTCCTCGATACCATCATCATCCAGTAGATGAGACTTTAATAGACTACTCAAATTGAGATTGTTAATTTTTCCAGTCTTGGCAAGGGTAAGATCGTTGATGCTATCACCAAACTACTAGCTAATATTGAGAGACTTTTTATGGGCTCCTAGTGAATTTCCTAAAGTGTGTATCTTTTTCATTAAAGCCTTCTAACTATCACCTTCATCATTTCCACTAAATCTTGTTCCAGCATCTGAGTTTTATGCATTAGTCTTGATAACAAAGTTGTGCGATCCGAGTTTTCTATGATGTGGATTATCCCCTTATCTTGTCATGCTGCTAGTATCATTAGTAATTTGACCAGCAGTTGAGTCTGTAATAATTAAATCCTATCTGTTAGTTGTCACTTAGGATAAAACCCTTTGCTAGCCTCTATTTACCTATTATGATTGCTTTTTAACAGGAGTCTCTTCTTTAGCATTTTTAAGAAGTGATTTAGATGATTATTTTCTGATAATGACTTCTTTTTATGGTCTCTACTATTACTGTGAAGCGCTGCCTATTTACTAAGTTTAATTGAAATTATTTTCAAGCAAGCTTTTCATGTTAGCGTATTATTGAGGATTTATATTAACAGGCGACATCATTGCGGAATATGGGGGGTAATTTTATTCTTCACTTTGCAAGACCATATCATTATGGTTTCTCATTCCTCCCCGAGATTTTTGTTAGGATCTTCTATATTTGTAATTAATATAAATTAAAAAAGCTTACCCACGCTCATTAAATCCAATATTAGCCTAACTGTTTTCTGGCATACCATTCCCACGCTTATTATTGCCGTTTTTACTTCCCTGATTTTGAATAAATTTATTTGTATTAATCGCTTCCTCATAGCTTTTCAGTATTGAATTAGCTTTTTTAGAATTGAGGTAAGCAAGTGCTTTATTATTGAGCATGTTAGGTCTCTGGGGTAGATTACCATTTTAACTACTTAGTATATTGCTTTATCTTCTATTTTAAGGAGTCACATTCGTACTCTAGGATATTTTACCTCTACTCCCAGGCTATATTCCTTACGGCGATAGAATTTATGTTTAATTTAACATTAATTCTTGATCACTTTATATTAGTATTTTGTTATTGCTTAGCATTGCACTATTGTTCATGTTATTATTTTGTTGTTATATGATATTCTGACTCATTCCTAGCGGATTATTCATAAAGATCATTTGCATGTTTCCACTATTTTTCGTTGATTAAGGGTAGTTAGGGTTTTAGGATTTTAGGTAGCTCTGTGATTATTAGTTCATTGCACGCTTTTGCTTGTTGGTTGTGGCTACCTTCTTAAGGTCTTGGATGTAGGACTTGAGATTGCCTGACACGCTGTCCTGGAGCTAAGCGGCGACCATGGCTCTTTCTTAGGACTGCTGCTTCATCATATTTTAATTTCAATTCTAATATAATTATTATCTCATTGACATTAACCATTTCAATGGTATATTCTAGAGTGAAGGGGTTTTGGGGTTTTGGGGTTTTGGGGTTTTGGGGTTTTGGGG